GGGCGGAGCTGTCAACCGATCATCACCTGGTCGTGAGTTGGATCCGCTGGCAGGGGAAGAAGCCGGTCAGAATAATTATCATCTTAGCTTATTCTCATAGTACCAGCTGGTACTATGAGACTTGGGTGGCATCTCTGATTGCCACCCCCCTGACCCAGAAATGGTTTAAAGGTTTAGAAAATGGATGGATGGATGGATCTTAGCTTCTGCAAGTTACCAAATTTAGTAGTTTTAGAATGTTTTTAGTGTTAGCATCCCTAGGGCTTTTCTAATGCAAATTAGCATTGTGCTAACCCCATGCAATCATTTTTGTGATGTTTTTAGCTGTCTTTGTTTATATGCCAGCATTAAGATTGCAACATGTGTTTGTTGTTTCTCTGTATGTTACAGTTTTAAGTCCATCCGTAAACAACAGAACGATGCTTCTTTATTGAAGCCTTTATGCCATCTGTGAAGCTAGTTTTCTCACATTATTTAAAGCAGAAATGAACAGATTTCTGCTTTTTAGAATGTCGCTTTTACCTCTAATGAGTTGAGGATCTTCTTCTTTACAGTTGTGGCTTCACTTTCCCGATCATGAGATTCTTTATTATTACCCACTGTTAGAGTAAAAGAGAGGAGTCCTGTGAGCGATTGGAAAAATATATACTGTAATTCTGACAAACATTCTGATATCAATCAATCAATCAATCAATCAACGTTTATTTATAGAGCGCCTTTCCTACACAAGGCAACGCAAAGCGCCTCACAACCCATATAACATCATGCATAAATCATCAAACATTAGAATTTAAGTAAACATAAAAAGACAGATTAAGAGCACAAGATATATAAAATCACACAAGTAGTTAAAAACCGTAAAAAATTAAAATCACACAAGGGATTACAATCATAAATAATCATAAATTTTTTAGGCCTTATTTAGGCCTCACAAGGTGATTGTGAAAATATGGTTAAAAAATGTGGTGTTGTTTAGTAACATTTGAAAGTACTAAACAACACTAGTACTTGTTTAGAATTACTCCAAAATATATGACTCAATAAACGCTTGCATTCGTTGAAGTTTTTTTATTATTTTGTTTTTTATTTATTCATTTATTTCATGCAATGGCACAGGTGAGTAAACAAGGTAATTAAATGGAATTAAATAATATAAATCATATAATGCAAAAAACAGACAGACAAAACATGTATAAACAATAAATGTACCCTATACAGTAAACATGGCCGTATAATTCTGCCGGAAAAGGGGTGGGAAGAACAAAAAACGTATTTAATCCCACCCCTTTTATCCCCATTTAGTGATTAAACTATCAACTTCACTGTTACTTTGTTCGAGCATTATTTTACAGTGTTATATCTTACTGAGTTCTTACTTTTATATGAGAAAATGTCTCTGTAAATGTCACATGTATTAAAACAGGACAACAGACTGAGATGAGTCTTCTGCTGCTGGACACTTGTATTTCTCCTATGGGGGATCAATAAAGTATCTATCTATCTTTTATCTATCTATCTATCTATATATCTATCACAAATGTTCCAGTGGAGCTTGCTTTACCTAAATCATAAACAATTAAACAACTACTGCTGCTCTTAATGTAAGGCTAAAGATACTTCAAATCTTCATTCAAGTCCAAAATTACTACTTTTGGACTTGGATATTATATTTTGTTTATGAATGATTTCACATCCCACATGTTCATTAGTCGTGTCTGCAGCAGCACGGGTGGTCTCTGATGTGGACCGACCCGGGCTTGTGCTGGTGATCTGTCTCAGACCTGTCTCCGGTCCTGGACTGTGATGGAGCAGGACTCTCAGGCTTCACTAACGAGACGGAGACGCACCCAGCAGCCTCCCAGGATCGATGCACTGCAGAAGGCCACGCAGGGAGCACCAGGAGAGAGCACCAGGAGAGGGCACCGGGGCTGGAGGAGGTGACCAGACTCTTGGATAATTAGGTGACATACCACTTTAAAAAAAAACAGTACTTCTTTTCTACTAGAGCAGATACAAAACATTAGTCGAATTATTTGCTGACCCTTAAAGAGGAGTATGTAAACATCTGGCCAAAAGTGGTACTGCAGCCTCTCCCACTCTCCCTGACTCAGGTTGCCAGATATGCAGACGAATCCAGCTGGGACCATAATATCTGAACAGACAAGAGTTTTGTCAACAACAAATCTATAACCAACACCTGAATACATAAACTCTTGTCTTTTCAGATATTATGGTCCCAGCCTAATCTGCATATCTGGCTACCTGAGTCAGGGAGAATGGGAGAAGCTGCAGTACCATTTTTGGCCAGATTTTTGCATATTGCTTCTTTAACTGGACATCCCTATTTGAATATGTTCCTCTTTTTCTCCACAATAACTGACATATACTCTTCGTAACAGACACAATTTGGCTGCATCTCAGGCATTTTGGCTCAAATTAAGAAAAAAAAAATCTTCTCCCTATTGTGATCTGTGTTCTGCACCATTGCCTTTTAAAACATATTACATTATTTCCAACCTATGGAAGGTATGGAAGCAAAACAACTTTTTCCTTTCCAATTTTTTATTTTATTTTCTTCACGCCTGTATTGTCTGCACAACTTACCAGTAAACCTACTCAGCTTCAAAGTCTGTCAATAAATCTCACCGACCTCTTTGATTCCCAACTTTATTCTCGCACTTGAATGACACCGTTGCTAAATTAACAATACGTTAAGTCGTGCAACATTAGCGTTCATTATTTTATTTTATTTCTTTGCAATATCTCTCTCTGCGATTGCTTTTAACGAGCTGACACTCGGAGCAGGCAGTCACCCACCCAGCATCTGCCTGCCTCCCACAAGTAAACAATCGGAAAAATAAAACTCCTCATTAAATGCAACTTTATCAGCCACCCACGGCTAACGCTCCCAATGCGAAGCGTCAATGGATCAGGCCTCGTCTGTAATTACGCCTGGCGCATTTGAACCAGAGGACGTGAGGGAAGCAAAAGTGAAAGAAGAAAATTGGAGACAGGTGGAGCTCTGACCCTGATGTAACGATGGTTGGGCGATGGCAGGACTGAGACATCAACCTGTGGATCAGAACTCACTGCACAAATGTTCCTTACCGGGGTCATGTCGGGCCCCGAAACAGGATCTTCAGAATATTTAGCGGTAATATAAACTAACAGAACGATGACAGAGATGGTCAGGACGAAGTGATGGGAAAAGATAAGATAAGATAGACTTTATTGATCTCACACTGGAGAAATGTACATGTCACATTTGTCACAGATAGAATCACTCAGATTGTGCAAAAAGACAGAAGTGTGAAACATGATAATGGTCATAAATACAGTCTGTGTAGGATATAATTATGCACAATCAAAGAAACAGTGGCAATAGCAGTGCAGGTTTTTCAGTCCTAGTGCATTAGTGACTGAAAGTGACTTATTGTACAGTTTGTGTCTAACTTTATAACATGCTGTGATCAAAATGAAGACCCGCAACTACAAAGAACTGTATTCCACTGGAGACATTCCCGACAATAATTTAGAGGCAAATATGTTTTTTGAAAGAGAGAAGAGCTGTGTCCTCGTGGTGTCGTGGGCAGAGCCGTCACAGACAGTAATAACACGGTTGGTTCTGTGTCGGAGACCTCTGCAATATCAGGGGCCACAGTGAAACAACTGTGTCCTTAAGCAACACTATACACCCAGAGTGTGCTGTTGTTATTGCCACTCTGCCCCGGGGCTGCTGTGGCTACCGTGGCATTTAAACAGCTCTGTGTGTGGAGTGGATGAATAAAGACATGTGGAGTTAAAGAAACACATTTTAACATGATATGAGTTCATAAGTTATGCATTATGTGCACAGATCTGCAGTGTTAGTACAGTCCCTGAGTGGGTTAGAGTACTCCTGTTAGAGTACTCCTCTTAGAGTACTACTGTTAGAGGACACCTCTCGAGTTTCAATGCAAAGTCAATGGTGACGTCTGTCCATGCAAGGAATTGTATGTAAGTCGCGGCGCGTAGGAGGCGCTGGGTACGGCGGCTCGATGCAGCAAAAGCAGGAGATGAACATCCTCGCTCCACACATGTGCGGAAGCCAATCAGAAAGCAGCAAAGTGGACACAGGAAAACAGGGAAGCCTAAACAGACACTCAAAAAACAACCAAAAGAGGAGCTGAACCAGGACTAAACCAGGGCTGAGGAAGGGGGACACAGTTCTTGTGGATATATGTCTTCACCCTCAGTTGACTTCTACTGTGACTGTAACAAGTGCTGCTAACGTTTTTACAGATGCGGAAGTATCGGTGTAAACATCAAAGCCTGTCCAACACAGGACAGTACGACAGATTGACTAAACTCAGCTGATATTTAGTCAACGTGCGCCTCCGTCTACGCACGTCCATGCATCTGCGGTAAGACCACACCTGTTAGAGAAAAGCTGTCCCCTTGTTCTGTGTTCATAAACTTGATAGATGATTAGAAAGAGGAAAGAAGCAGTACATATGTGTTGTGGATATGTGAGGGAGGTTGGCAAAGATAGTCCCCACACCTCACAGACATATACAGTACATTTGGATTCTCTCATCTCTCATCACATGTTACTACACGTTACATTTGTCGCCTCTGTGAAGTGAGGAGCCGTGCATTGGAGCAGGTGGTGCGGTGACCTGACTGATGCGGAGATAGACACATTTGTTTGCAGAGAAGTGTATTGACGTGGATGTATTAACAAGTTTACTTCACAGATGCGTTGAGAATGGTGCGGAGGCAGATGGAAAATGTCCAGTGCCCATGGCTTTAAATAAACTGTCTTATAATGGAATATATCATTATGCAGAAGTCAATTGGCAAGAAAATACGTATTACCTGGATATATGGTAAGAGCATCTGGGAAAACGTATTCCCATTGGCACTTTTTTCTGTGTTAAAGTCTCAACAGAACTCTATCCTAGTACCCATGAAACCCTGACCCAGTACCCACCAAACTCTGACCTAGTACCCGTCAAACGATGACCCAGTATCCACCAATCCTGACCAAGTTCCCACCAATCCTGACTCAGTACCAACCAAACCCTGACCCAGTACCCACCAATCCTGACCCTATTTCTGTTTTTCTCTCCGGTGTGGACTGGACAAGGTCAGGCCTAGTGTCGGTTCGGGTAAGGGTGGCTCAGTAACAAGGTGTGGTCCAAACCTGTTTTTTTTCTGGAGCCTACATATAACTTTCACATGACTTATACTTTTGCTAGTAATAAGTGCTCCTCTAAATGTATACATTAAAATAATTGCTTGAATTACGCTGTGTTTATCGTGAGGCGTGATGTGTCCACTAATACTGTATATCCAACCAGGAGGACCAGAGGTTACAGAAATGGGTCTCTTTAGTTCATGTATCGCCCATCTGTGTGAGCGGATCCCTCTTTCTCATTTTCTACCACGGAGTTTTTCCTTGTCGATGCAGGAGGGTCTGAGGACAGTGGTGATGGTCCAGGACACTCCACATTCAACATCATTTATGGACTTTATCAACATGTATGGACATTGGTCTTCTGCCCCTTATGGACCAATGGCTCTATGTGTCTTTTATCATTGCTCTACAGTTGTGATTTAGATGATTTAGACATCCATCCATCCATCCATTTTTAGTTTTATTTTATGATTTAGACAAATAAAACTAAAACATTGATCATTCTAAAAAGCTAATAATAGTAATGACAGCCCTTCAGGTCACAGCAGCAGAGGTGGAGTAGCCTCTGGGTGGAGCAGGACTGGTCATAAGGTGGAGTAGCTGCTTAGTTCGGACCATCCTCTCTGCTCTAGTCCAAAGTAAAATGCTAAATGCTTCATTGAATCCTCCCCACTCTGGTCTGGACCAGTGTACAACCATGAACACGGTACTGCATTTAGGGCCAATATATAAATTAATTAATTGAATGTTTGGGATGTTTATGTTGCAAGCAGATGGCAATGAGCACAGGCCATCAACTTGAATGGGCAACCTCTTGGATCATCATCAATAGCTGAATTCTTTTCTGGAAACATCCCAGACTTTGGCAGAGGTGGTGTTTGGTGGAACACGTCGTTCAGGCACAACGCTATTGCTCCTTCTCTCTCGAATCGTCGCCGCTGATCACACGGAATATTCCTCCCAGCAGTACTGTGTTTTGGAATCAGCACCATGGACAGCTGTAGTCTTCATGTATTGGACTTATCTGGTCCAGCACACTAATGTTCACTGAAAAAATATGATCCAATATAAGGGAGTAAATTGTTGAATCAAATAGTTTCCCAATGGAACAAATAACACATGTATTTTTTCTTCTCTGCTTTAAAGATCAAACAGCCTTGTCCATCTGTGGAGTTGTTATAATTAGTTTGATAAACAGAACATATGGACAGAAGGGGAAAGAGGACTGTTGTTGGATGCTTTACCTTGTGAAGAAAATAGAAACCATGTTATTATTTATAATTTAACTCAAGACAGAATCTAACTTTACTGAATCTATAAGGAGACTTTTTATGTCAGAATATCTTTTTAGCTCGGATGGTTCTCGACAAAACTCCAGCTCTGTTTTTGATCACAGAACATTATTGTCACATTGTTGAAGTCCCCCGGTAGACAATGGTAACATTATTCAAATCCCCAACAGCCGAAAGTATTGTTTGCCCGCGCTCTGAGAGGCTCCACGCTGGCTCGCGATCCTCTCTTCGCTCCTCTCTCTCACAGACATCTCTCCTGAATCATTTGTCGGAGGATGTTCACAGAGCTGACAAGGGCCCCTCACGCCGGGGGCCATTTTGCCCATTACCTTCACTTTACGTCCCTCCGACCGGCATGTGTCAAGGAGAACGCAAGCCTAACTCAGCCGCGGATAATGACGGGGCGCACACCGGGGAAAACCTCACGTCTAATCCCACGCAAAGTGTTCCAAAGTGACAAACAGTGAGGGCTGTTCACCACGGCTCAGGTCAGGGCTGAGCAGAGAAATGAGGTGACTCTATTCCATTCATTTCTATCTGCTTTTGAATAACCCTTAATCCCAACAGTAGTTCATTTGCAGAAGCTTTAGATTCGCCAACACAGATCAGAGAATCAAAGAGTTCCAACACAAACAATGCAATGATAATAAACACATAGATTGGTTCTTAAGGGGCAGAAGCCAACGTTCATAAATGTTGATTAAGTCCATAAAAGTCGTTGAATGTCGAGTTTCCTGGATCATAACCACTGTCCTTAGACCCGGCATGTCCAAACTCAGGCCCAGGAGCCAATTGCGGCCCTCAGTGTCATTGTATGTGGCCCTCCGCCTTGCTAACCCAAAGTAGTCTTTGAGATCAAACACAACTTCACTGTGTCATCCATCCAACGTCAGCTCAGTCAATATAGACGTATCGTAACTCCTTCTAAAGCCCAGTATGTCTGGAATTCCAGGGGAGACAGTCCAAAGGTGCCGATGGAGGAGGAGTTTATCTTATCTTATCCTGAAAAGGTACACTGTGCAGTTTTTACTCCCATCTAGCATTGAGATCATATATTGTAATTTACGGTACCACTGTAGCTTCACAGGACAATATGTGGTTTTTGACAGTGGTCCCCAATTGTCCGTCAAACTCCTTTTTGTCCCTTATCAACCACTGTATTTCAAGATGGTGCATTGACACAGAGTCCTCCAGCCTCATGGACATTTATAAGTCAAATTCTAATCCTATGACAACAATTGAAAAACCTGGTGGAGGTAAACGTTCTAAAAAACGGTCACATTTGTTATTGGTTAACGTGTTTTTTTCACTTGGAAGAACTATAAACATTACACAGAGTACCTTTAAGTTAACGTGCTTCTCACAGCCAAAGTGTCTCCATTTGCAGCTTGACTGACCATTTGTGTGTGTTTGGACTTGCACTTGTAGTTCTAAGACAAGCATTTAATAACCTCGGAAGATGAACTGAGTAAACTAAAGCTCACACAGTCAGTATGTATATCCCATCTTTCCTCTAACAAGCCCAGGCACGAGCGCACACTCACTCACCTCGCCGCTCACCCCCATTACACACAGTTTGTCATGCGTGTTTACCATTTATATATTCAGTCCATATCACTGTTACAGCCCTCCCTCTTCTGCCTACACAAACGGACTGTCGGGAAGCATCAGGCCCTACAAATGAAGCCAGCATTAGCGTGTGTGTCCGTGTATATGTGTGTATAAGTGTATATGTGTGTATGTGTGTGTGTGTGTGTGTGTGTGTGTGTATTGATCCGACTGACAGCGAAAACCATTAGCGGGTGCACTGCATTTCAAAGGACGCACATAAAACGCGGCGAAATTGGAGAACGCGTGTTAGCCCCGCGAGTCGGACGGCCGATGATTAAAGCTTCCGTCCTTTTCCCAAACACACGGGAGCGAATCAAAAGACAAGGCGCGGAATGATGTTATTGTCTCGTGCGACTGTCTGCGGCGGCCAGAGGTTACCGGGAGCGCGGCGGATGAAAGCGCCCTGATTGGAGGAGAAAATGAGATGGCTAATGGGGAGAATTGGGTACAACATACACAGGGCTTTGGCGATGGATGAGGAAATGTGTGATGGACACGGACAGTGCTGGGAATGGGCTAGCAAGATAAGCTGCTTTTGAAATGGGAAATAAGTGGAGAGCATTATGGTTGAATGACACATTATGTATGACTTTGACTTTTTACCCAGCATGCCACAGTGGACCCTCATCAGAAATTTAAATGTCAAATTTACGGAAGGAAAGTAGATAGAAGAGATGATTTAACTGGACACAACCCGACTGAATAAAAGCAGATAGAAGAGGTGATTTACGGTGGTCATTTTATACAATTGAAACTGAAAAGTGGAGATTGCAACAGTATTCATACATGAGTGAAAACATTGTTTAGTTTAGTTTATTAATGGAATGCCCCTTGAGATGTGCCATTTCTTTTTCGAGGGGATCCATAAACGCAAAAGACAGACAGACCCAAACCCCTTCAAAATACCTGGACATAATTTAAAAAAATAAATTAAATAAAATACAAAAAGTGTGAAAAGGAAACAAAAGCTTTGAGACAAGTAACAAAGTAGAATTATACATATTCCAAGGACTGAGGAAAAATACGAAAATTTTCAGACCCAAAAATTGGACAAAAAATATATACACACAAAAAATTCAAAAGAGGAAAACTTAAAAAAAAAACATGAACTTGTCTTAGGGTGTGAAAATAACGAGGATCTAAATGAGCCAAATAAGGATTTAGAACGAATGGATGAAGGAAAACTATTCTTTATTGATACGGGGGACAGTAAAAGAAAGCGAGTGGGACCCTCTTTTCTTTTGACTGGACCCGACTGAATGACAGCAGCAGAAGAGCTGTTTAAACTCTTGGTCAAAAGTCCTGCCAAATTGGTTTTCTGCCTTTTTATCCAAATGTATCACCTCCACTCGAGCTGTGGTCAGTCAGAGTGAACAAACCTGGACTCAGATATCTCCAAGCATCATTTCAACAACAAAAATCTCAAACTTCCAAACCCTCCTTAAAGTCCAAACCATTTTAATAAACCAAACTAAAAATCCTTCCTCCCTTTTAGATGTATTCTTCATTTATCAAAAAAACTGAGCTTAAACTCGACATATGGCCTTTTTTTGTCAGAAACTTCTGCGTGTTTTGTGCATGTTTCCAAAAGCACAAATAGATTCGGTTTCTGTAATTGGCTGCAGATAATGAAGTTCCACTGGGGATGAAGTGTGTTGGATCAAGATGTAATTAACAAGTCAGAAATACTTTCCCAATACCCTGAGGAACGGTATGTTTAAAAGCAGTCTTCTGACAGTTCCAGAAAGAAAGACAATGAGAACATGTGTCTTTATGGCTCTTTTTAGACTTAAATCAGAAAAAAGTAACCTCTAAATCTACAAAAAAATCCTCAGCTTTCACGCCACAAAAAATGTATCTCTGTAAAGAAATGGGATTCTGTCCGAAAAAAAATATTCTCTAATCTGTGTTGGATTGAATTGAATCTGAAGATGCGACAGAAAAGTGTAAACGAGAGGACCATTGTCACTCAGCCAATCAACTTCAAGCCCAAAAAAGTCAAAAAGTGACTCACAGGGCTCTTTAGATAACAGGTTTTTTAATTCAATTCTATGTGTATCTATATATTGCTAAATCATGATAGTAGTTATCTTGGAGGACTTTACAAAATGGTTGAATTCTGCAAAACATATCAGAGAATCAAACAAGATATTCAATGATAAAAACACATAGAGCCATTGGTCCGTAAGGGGCAGAGATCAATGTCCGTAAATGTAGATAAATGTCAATGACCATAGAAATCTTTATTAATATAGCAATTTTATTTCAGACCAAGGTCACCCAAAGCGCTTTACAATGTTCAAAGTTCAGATTTTGTTCCATTCTCCACACAAAAGTCACCGCCCGCATCAGACTGCTGTGGACATTGTCAATATCTGCCATACCACTTTTTTCCTCTATATCATTGATTGTGAATTTTCCCACTTTTCTCAATGATGTTCCTTACAAACGTGCGTCTTTAGCTAGATGGTAGCATGTTAGATTTGGATGTAAATTTAGCAGCATTCGCCACGGTTCCCCTCTCCCTGATCATGATTTAATAGCCTCCCTCTTCCCCACATCGTCTCAGTGTCTGTGAGGTAAGCTGGTGGGAGTCAGGGGGCGGGACCATGGCCCCTGTCACTCACCCGCTCTCTCTGATTCCTTTAATAGCTGTGAAGGCGCCGCGCTCTAATTGGTGTGTGTGTGGGCGAAGATGGAGACAAGATGGCCGCCACCGCTGCTGCTGCTGTCTCTGCTTCATGTGGACGAGTCTGCGTTCTGATTGACGGCCTATAGAGGACGTAACGTGATCCGACTGACGGTAGATTGCTGGATGACAGCCCTGGTGGTCAGTGTATGTACAGCCCACAGATGACCCTGCTTTTTATGTTTTAATATTGTCCTCAAATCAAGATGTCTCCTAACAACTGACCAATCTGGCCTTCTGTCCCCAAATTTGACATCAGCAGCAAACTAGCCCGATCTAACCATACTTTAGTACTCATTTCATTTCATACTAAGGTCTGGATTTGCTCCATTGAGCTCCGTTAACAGGTGGGAGGGGTTAACTCCTTTGGCAGATTGAAACGATTGGATCTGAGTTTGCGACCGAGTGAGTGAAGCTTTTAGCTTTTGCCTAGCTTTAGCATTTAGCCTAGCATTAGCCATCTCCTTTGCCAGTAACGGAGCCCGTGGGGAGTAGAGCCACAACATATTTGCAGCAACATTCCTCTTGCTCCAGCTTCAATTTCTTGATATTTGGATTGAACCAGAACAGATTTCTACCGACACTGACTAACAACACCCACCTCCGGGCTCTCTGATTGGTCGGATGGGATTCAACCGAGGAAACTGCAGACACTAGGATCAGACCCAGACGTACATTTAGGAAATAATACTGGAGTTTACGTATGGCTAAACTACCAGAACTACACAGCTCCTGATAGGTTCTTTTGTTACTGGGTAGTAGCCACCTGATATTTTGGCTACTTGAGTTTGGTCTAGTCAGGAGAGGCAGAGTGATTAAGGTCAGTATTTGTTTCTGTGGCGTTTGGATCAGGCTTTGGAGCCCAAGAAGCCTCCACACCTCCTGTTTTTGAGTTTCTATCTCATTGTGTTTTGTGTCAGACTTTTTTCTACCCCTGTTCAAACTCTAAATATACTAGCAGCTGCCACTACTGGGTACACAAAAACTCATTACAACGCGATCAACATCTCCAGATTGATTTTGCGGGGTACGTTTTTTGTTTTCGTTTGTCACACCGCCGAACAAAATAAGTACAAAGAAAACTTAGAATCCACGCAGGACAAACCAGCCCCAAAATAATACACTCTCTGGCCCCAGCCAATTAGCAGCGGCGGAGTAGCTGCTGCCTCTGTGAAGCACTTAGCGCCGACATTGAAGAGCCATTTTATAAATAATGGCGGCCGTGTCTGCGCGTACAAACAATTAGAGTCCATTTGGATTGTGGCGCGGTGGTAAATAAACAATTAGCCCTAAATCAGTGGCTACACAAGGCGCTAACAGGGACAGTGCGGGATCAGAACAAGGACACTCGGAAGGATTATCCACAAAGTTATAGAGTTAAAGAGTCTGTACGGGTTAACAGAGACCTATTTCAGGAAGAATGGGCCAGAATTTCCGTCAATTACTGCGTACGTCATTTGCATGGAGACCAGAGAAATTCAGAATGTGCAATATGGACCACATGTGTCACTGTCACTTTACTTTACTCATCTGTGCAATATTATATAAGTACACACACAACTATATATTACTTTAATTAGAATATATAGCATTTTATTCTTGCTCCTTATTGTGCTAAAGTCGGGTTTTTTAAATTGTTTTTAATATAATCACTATCTTTAGCATAATAAGGAAAGACGTCTTGCTTCTTCATTGGGCTAAAGTTGGAGATTTTTAACACTTTTTCCCCTTATTTTGCTAAAGGTAGAGATTTTACACTGCTTCTTTTTGTGCTGTAGAGTTAGATTTTATTTTGTCATAGTTAATATAGTTGTTCACATATGTGCTGTGTGCTCCTCATTCCTACTGTTCTGTATCTCGTGATGCAACACTGAAATTTCCCCACTGTGGGACGAAAAAAGAATCTCCATCCACCCATTTTTTTCCCCTTAATCCATTTCTGGGTCGGGGGGTGTCAGTCAGAGCTGCACCCAGTACACAGAGCACCAGCCCCTCACTGATCCTCCTGCAGGTGCTGAGTCCACAGGAGCTGAGATCTTTCAGTTCAATCAGCTTCCCATTTATGTTAAGGAAGCAGATACGGTCTCCACATTCAAGGCCAGGCTTAAAGCATTCTACTTTTCTCAAATGGGTCTCCCTCCCTGTGGGTTTCCCTAGTTCTCCCCAAGGTTTCTCACTTTTTCCCACTGGGTTTTTTAAGAGTTTTTCCTTGTGGATGCAGGAGGGTCTTGTTGGACAGTTAGTGTCCAACAGAAAGGATTGGTGATGATCAGGACACTTTAGCATTCTACAACATGTATGGACATTTTCTTCTGTGTGTGCTTTATATTCTTCATGTGTTTTGGCTGTTGATTCTCTGACCTGTGTTGGTGATTTCAATGGTTTTGTTAAGTCCTCTGAGATGACTTCTGTTGTGACCTAGGGCTATACAAGAATAAATTGTAAATACAAATTGTATTGTATTGTATTGTAGTGGGGGCTTCAGGCAAAGTGAGGTTAAGTGTCTTGCCCAAGGACATAACGACAGCAGACATCAGTGGGAGTTGTGAAGTAGGTCTTATGGTGGGCTCGAACCCACGACCTTCAGGCCCAAAGGCCAATGCTCTACCAACCGAGCCACTGTCGCCCCCGAATAAAGAATCTCCTAATCTTAAATTGAGTAGAGTTCTATAAGCTCGAAGCTGCACTGTCAAGGCTGCACCTACAAGACCCTTCTCCCATTTGTAGCTGCACCATCCAAATATTGTATGGAGTACGGAGGGGCCGGAGGTCTTGTGATGCGTCATTACTCAGAAAATATTGGGTCGGTCTTTGAGGATTCTTTAGTTCATCTCAGCGTGTTGGTGTCAGCTAACAGTGTGAATAGTGTATTAAGATAAGATTAGAGATCCTTTATTGGTCCCACCGTGCATGGGGAAATTTCAATGTTGCAGCGCACACACAGGACAGTAATATGAGACACAGGGAGCACACAAAATATACAAAATAAGTAGTAGCTATTAGTTTGTGTTAGCTCTCAGTCGTACTGGGATTCGTCAAAACAAAGGAAGGTTGCTCACCCATCATCTGTGCTTCAGTGAGCAGCTTTTCCCGACGTTCCATTCCCTTGAAAACGTTCTTTGGATGAACGTTGGGAAAACCTGCTCATTGAAGTACAGTTGATGGGTGAGCAAGTAGTAGCTATGTTTCTTAGCTAGCTGTAAATGCTTCAATACCAGTCAAAAAAATAAAAAAATACATGTAGTGTAGAGTTATGAACTGTAGATATAGGGAAGGATAATAAGTAGATAAAGTAAAGTGACATTGTTCAGTGAAATTCTGAAGTTGCAGTATTGCACGTGATTGCAGTATTTACTTATTTACAGATGAAGGACATTTACAGGCTCAGCAGTCCTCATTGTACAGTCTGACAGCTGCAGCAAGGAAAGACCAGCAGAATCTCTTCTTCACACAGGGAGGGTGAATACGTAGTAGTAGTAGTTTATTTTCTTCGGCCAACATGTACAACAGACAGGTTTCAGAGATTGCATATACATTTTACGACTAGAAAAAATAAATAACCAAAACGTATCCATGAAGAACCTTAGAGCCAAAGTCTGTCATGAACCATAAGAAATACCTCCAGAATACACAGATGTGTGGCAGAGTGTGTTTTGGGATGTGTCTCCTCTGAGCTCCGCGGTCGCTGTAGCCGTCGACCTCACATCCTCACCTTCGCCGTGGCTCTGAGCACTGTCCCCAGCAGGCACACAGCGGTACTGCGTGGCCTCATAAAGATGCTGAGAAGAGGAAAACAGGTTGTTAGTCCCTAGAGGCGATTCTACAGTGTATGAGAGTCTTAGCAAAAAAATTACCACAGAGGTAAATGATCTGAAAAAGGTATCAGTTAGTAATCCACCGGGGCTGGACTGTGACTGGTTTAAACCCATGACTTTTAGATTATTGTTAACACAGATTTAGTGACTGACACTTTGTTTATTTGTTGAACACATAATTATCCCCTTGAAAGTCAGTGAGTCAGGATCGGATAAATGTATTGATTGCGAAGGAAATTCCAGTGTTGCCGGCTGCTCTCATTCACACAGTCACAGGTGCATGATAAATAAGTTGCTACAATATCATAAAAACAGTACAAAACAATTTATAACGTTAAAAGTGCGTCGAAAGGTCAAAGAGCTTCGAGGAAGACACACTGCTCCTTTAAGAGGCTAAAACTCAGTCGAGGCCTGTAGGTGGCGCTCTCCCATCCCTCATTCAACTCCGTTATCTCCCATACATCATAACACAGTGCACAGGGCTTGTTCTGTTCTGCTCTGGAACGGGGGGGGGGGGGGGGGGGGGGGGGGGGGGGGGGGGGGGGGGGGGGGGGGGGGGGGGGGGGGGGGGGGGGGGGGGGGGGGGGGGGGGGGGGGGGGGGGGGGGGGGGGGGGGGGGGGGGGGGGGGGGGGGGGGGGGGGGGGGGGGGGGGGGAGGGGGGGGGGGGGGGGGGGGGGGGGGGGGGGGGGGGGGGGGGGGTGGGGGGGGGGGGGGGGGGGGGGGGGGGGGGGGGGGGGGGGGGGGGGGGGGGGGGGGGGGGGGGGGGGGGGGGGGGGGGGGGGGGGGGGGGGGGGGGGGGGGGGGGGGGGGGGGGGGGGGGGGGGGGGGGGGGGGGGGGGGGGGGGGGGGGGGGGGGGGGGAGGGGGGGGGGGGGGGGGGGGGGGGGGGGGGGGGCCTGGGGGGGGGGGGGGGGGGGGGGGGGGGGGGGGGGGGGGGGGGGGGGGGGGGGGGGGGGGGGGGGGGGGTCCTGGCAGCAGCAGTATGTAGTAGTATCGCCTGCAGGCTTCATACAAAGACCCTCAACCCCACCCCCACCCTCACCCCATCTCCACCACAGCCGCAGCCCGAGCCCCATTCCAGGCTGACTAAGTGTGTCTAATTGGCCTAAAGAGGGGTGGGGGGGGGAGGGTAATGGACAGGATGAGCAATGCAGGGAGGGGGGACTTCCTGTCAGAGAAAAGGAGACAAGAGGGTCCCCGAGCAATAAACTGTATGAAAACACTATTGTAACCATGGTGACGGGTGCATTTTTAAAACCCGGTGAAATGCAGTCTCTTTTCCCGGATTTTACTTATTTTGATATAGATTTAACAATTGCACAATTGGCAGCATTTTGGGTTAAAATTTCCCAAATAAAAACATCTTCCAAAAAAAAAAACAATATTGTCCTTAAATACAAAAAATTATTACATAAAAACATGCGGAAACGTTTTTGAGTTGTTTTGAGCACAAACTAGTGAAGAAGATGACTTAGTCTGGGATTGCGTCTTTCATTCAGACAGAAGACATGTTTTATTGTCGATGGTAGAGACAGCACGAACAACACAAACAACAGAATGCAAGTGTATTATACAGAGCGGAGGCATGGAGACCTCCAATCAGCAGCTGCCACAGTGCCATGTAGCTTGGCCTTCAGATAGACAAAACAAGGGAAAAGTACTGGCTTCTGCACATTGATAGAATGATGAGTTTAACTTTCACAAAAGTTGCTTAAAAATCTCACACTAGTCTCATTGTTCCTTCAAAATTGTTCTCTCTCTGGTCTCTGTTTAATCTCTCTGGTATTTTTCTGGTCTCTTTCTCTGGTCTCTCTCCTCTCCCTCGGGTTTCTCTGTCCTCTCTTTGTTATTTTTCTGGTTGCTGGTCTCTCTCTTTGGTCTCTCTCTAGTCTTTCTCTCTCTGGTCTCTCTCTCTCTGGTCTCTCTCTCTCTGGTCTCTCTCTCTGGTCGCTCTCTGGTCTCTCTCTCTCTAGTCTCTCTCTCTCTGGTCGCGCTCTGTTCGCTCTCTCTGGTCGCTCTCTGTGGTCTCTCTCTCTGGTCGCTCTCTCTGGTCGCTCTCTCTGGTCGCTCTCTCTCTGGCTCTCTGGTCGCTCTCTGGTCGCTCTCTCTGGTCTCTCTCTGGTCGCTCTCTGGTCGCTCTCTGGTCGCTCTCTGGTCTCTCTCTCTCTGGTCGCTCTCTGGTCTCTCTCTCTGGTCGCTCTCTGGTCGCTCTCTGGTCGCTCTCTGGTCTCTCTCTCTCTCTGGTCGCTCTCTGGTCTCTCTCTCTCTGGTCGCGCTCTCTGGTCTCTCTCTGGTCGCTCTCTGGTCTCTCTCTGGTCGCTCTCTGGTCGCTCTCTGGTCGCTCTCTGGTCTCTCTCTCTCTGGTCGCTCTCTGGTCTCTTTCTGGTCGCTCTCTGGTCGCTCTCTGGTCGCTCTCTGGTCGCTCTCTGGTCTCTCTCTCTCTTGTCTCTCTCTCTGGTCTCTCTCTCTGGTCTCTCTCTGGTTTCTCTCTGCTCTCTCCCTTCTCTCTCTAGTCTCTCTCTCTCTGTAAAGTAGCTCTCTCAGGGAAAAGAATAGAAACTCCTGCATTAAAACATGAAATCTTGTGACTAACTGTAAAATCACGATTGAACATTGAACTAAATGTAAAATGATGATGTTTTATGGTACAGTTTCAACACCTGTCTCCTTTCCCATCATGGACTGAGTGTTTGAAAAGCCTCCAGGCACCCTCCCCCCCTCCCTCCCCCCTCCCCCTCCCCCCCCCCCCCCCCCCCCCCCCCCCCCCCCCCCCCTGCTGACCGTCTGCCTGAGCCTGTATAAATCCATCCCATAATGCTATTACAGCAGCAGACACATCCTGCATTCACTGCGGGCTGTGTAACCCTGTTAGGTCAGCCACTCGCACAAACAGCCTCTCGCCACCGCTGCATTTATCCACAGACGCTGAGGCCACGCTCTGACCACCTGCACCTCTGACCGGCCGGACGCCGCTGTGACGGGAGAAAGAAGAAACACATGTATAACTATATTTATACATCGGCTGAAGAAAAAAACCTACGGACATCCTTTGACAGTAAAGGGCTGGGAAAAATATCATATATATATAAGTTTGTATTTGTAAAGCACAGTTCATACACAAGGCATTTCAAAGAGCTTAAAGTAGCAATATGTAAGATTTCATCCATCCTTTTATCTTCCCTTAAACCATTTCTGGGTCGGGGGGTGGCAGTCAGAGATGCACCCCAGTCCACAGAGCACCAGCCCCTCACTGATCCTCCTGCAGGTGGTGAGTCCACAGGAGCCTTGATCTTTCAGCAGGGGCTTCAGGCAAAGTGAGGTTAAGTGTCTTGCCCAAGGACACAACCACAGCAGACATCAGTGGGAGTCGTGAAGTAGTTGTAAGATTTCAAGTCATCATTAAAGGGCCCTAATCCGTCAAAAGGCATTTATAAATATATATGTTCTTTTCCAATACTTCTTTAACTGATAACAGTAGTTCAGAGATATTTTTAAATTAGTTTTCCAGTTGGTAGAGCATTGGCCTTAAGCCCAGAAGGTCGTGGGTTCAATTCCCACCTCTGCACCTTCTCCACTGACTCCCACTGATGACTGCTGTCGTTGTGTCCTTGGGCAAGACACTTAACCCCGCTTTGCCCAAAGCCCCCACTGAAAGATCAAGGCTATGCTCACACTCAGAGAGCAGCCGTCCTCCTGTGGACTCACCACCTGCAGAGGGTCAGTGAGGGGCTGGTGCTATGAGACTTGGGTGGCATCTCTGACTGCCACCCCCCTGACCCAGAAATGGATTAAAGGGAAGAAAATGGATGGATGGATGGATGTTTTTATCCAGCGCTTTTCAGGACACTCAAAGACGCTTCACATCGCATTATTCTTTCACTCCATGCACGGTGGGGATAAAACCTTATAGCCACAGCTGCCCTGGGGCACACTGACAGAAGCGAGGCAACCACTATGTGCCATTGGCCCCTCCCACCACCACCAAACCAATCATTCACTCATTCTAGGCTATGTTAGTGGATAAATGGCGCAAGAGCTCTAGTGTCTACTGAGAGGACAAATGCCCACAAAAATAACAATTGTAAACCGCTTTGTGACTCTGGTCTGTGAAAGGCGGTATATAAATAAAAATTACTTACTTACTAATCCTGGTGCACACAAGGTCTTGCACAGTTATTTCAATGTGGTTTTACTGCAAATGGCAAATAATATATCATATGCGGTAAGTGTCCTGCCAAAGGACTCAGCCACATTTTGACACTGTACCCAGAGGTCTCCCATCGCAGCTCTCACCAGGACGTTCTCTACTTAGCTACAGGCGTCTGATGTGATCTGGCTTTCACCTGCAGGCATCGCCACTAACAACAGAAAGATCAAGAGCAGCATTTACCACATATGTAAAAAAAAGAAAAAAAAAACGATAATTCCGACAAACACAACGTCCTTTTGAAATCTCCTAATTATGACTTTGCGTTAAACAACTTTGAGCGTCTCCAAATGCCGCCGGCGCGACACACTCCTCTCGGTGAAAGACTTAATCCCTTTGTCGATGCTTCGGGGCGTTCTTCTCTGGCGCATTCAACCGCTGCCACTGTTTCATATTGACATCTGAATTATTAATAATTATCTCCAGCGGGGCCACATTGTTTGGAAACTTTAGCGTGAATGGCGGCGAATCGGAGGCAGAGCAGAGGATCGGCTCCAGTAATCCAATAAAAAGATTGCAGTTTGGCTGTAATCTGATTAAAGAAATGATTAAGAGAAATCGCTGGAGCGTGTTTGCAATTGGACTTTACATATTCAACAGCGGCTGATGAGGGCCGCTTAGATTAAGGCCTGCGCTCCGGAGATAATTCTCAAGATCGCAAGAGGCAACGGCGGTCTGTGGGGGTTTTGCAATGAAGCACCATGATGTCATTTTCTACAGCGGGTTGGTCGGGAGTCTCCGTTATGCGGGTCTATGCGCTGGTTTTAGGGGTTACCTGCTACTGCGGCATTATCAGAAATTAGAGAGCAGCGAATCAAACAGTTCATTAAGAAATAGAAGAAAAAACACATTGGGGATTGGTCCACACATTTTGATAACTGTTGTTGAATGTTGTGTGTCCTAGACATAGACTGTAAAAAATAATGGACGTAGTCACCGCCGTTCTAACTAATGGGCCAAAAATAGTGCTCTACTAGAGCAATCCAAAATGGCGAGTGAGTGGTCCCGCCCACAATAAAATTGTGAAAAAACGCATCTGCGCATGCGTCAGCCGGCGCAGCTCCATTCATTTGAACGAGAGACTTCAAAAATTCACAGCGACTAAACTAGAGTGGACCAAAACACCCCCCTCAGCATTGACACACATGTGGAACGGAGCTTTGAGGCCAAGAGCCAACTTTTGGGTCCATCCTGTAAAGAGAACGTTTTTTTTCCGAGAGGGTCTGCCAATGCTATATGTTAGCATTGGCTAATTCTTATTCCGGGTCCACCCCCATCGGCCCGGGGTGGTATTGCAGCATGTCAGCGCACGTCATTTTGGCCACTTTTGAGCCGGGACCCGCCCCCACTGGTCCTAGATCATCACCACTGACCTCTTTATTGACCCATAGACTGTAAATATTAACGGGCGTCGTCACACCTCTCTCCGGTCAAACTAATGTGCCGTCACTTTTGCCTTCTATGGGTTTTTTTCAAAATGGCCGTGGGGTAAAAAAACGCATTTGCGCATGCGTTAGCCGGCACAAGCTCCATTCATTATTTCATGAGTGCATTCTGAAGTCCACAGCGCCAAAACTAGACTGGTCCAGATAAATAAATAATCCCCTCAGCATCAACAGCATCTGAAATGTAGCGTTGGGCCAAGAGCGACTTTTGGACCATCCTGTAAAGACGTTTTCGAGAGGAAAGAAAACGGCATTCAAAAGCATTGGGTGATTCTGTTTCCGGGTACACCCCCACCGACCTGGAGTGAGATTGCAAGCATGTCAGCACACGTAGTCATGGACCCTTTGGAGCTGGGACCCGCCCCCACTGATGTATAGCCATAGTGCAAGAATAAATGTGGATACTTTCTCTTTTGCATAATTCATGTATATATATATTTTCCATTCA